CCCGGGGCCAATCGAACGGCCCTAGGACCCACTAGAGAAGCCCTCTGGTACTTTTGGAGTGCGTCCCTAGACCACCAGCCGACCCTTATCGAATGGGGCACGGGCCTCCACTCGGACTTACCCGATAACAGCTCACCGGAGGTGTCACTGCTCGCGCCCACCTAGGGTAGCCTGGCATACTCCACCCCTCCTTCCGAACGAAAAGGATGCGTGAGGGCCGCCCAAAAAATACAGGGAAACTCCTGATCGCCCTCTCGCTCCGTGCAAAGGCTCGGGGGCTCTTCCTGCAACTAAGCCGAGGCCCAGCGACCCGAACTCGCACTCATGGGCACGGCAAATGCGATAAAACTCCTCACTCAACGGGGAAAAAAGCCCCTGGAGGAGTAAATCCACTCCTCCAGGGCCTCGGGGGCTACACCCAGCGGGTGCGCTCGCGCGCACCCACCGGAACCATGAGTACAAAACGTAATCCCGACAGGAGCTGCTGCGAGCCAAGTCTCGACAAAACCTCAGGGAAAGTGCTCGCACTCCCCCCGAGGCTCGGGGGCTACTGTCGGATACCATAAAAAGGGGTACCCTAAGCGAGAACCAAAAAAATTGCTTAGCCCTTGTAAATATCAAAGCCAAGAAACAACGATGAGGCCTCGGCCGATTCTCCGATTCGCCCGAGGTCCACAGACATGACCTCTGACGACGAGGTGCCGACTCTCACGCCTCGCTGAGCCCCCTCGCCCAAGGCCCCCAACGTAAGGCCTTTGACGAAGCACCGATTCTCCTTTCGCCGAGGAGGCTAAAGCAACGACCCGTCACCGCTGCCTCGATCGGCTTCTCGACAAAACGTCACGTCTAATTAACGCGTCCAACCACTCCTTAGCGTCGGCCAGCGTCAAGACACAAGATCTGATGGAGTGGCCGATGGCGGGACGGAGTCACATCGACGCCATGCGATCGAGGGACAGGATCGGGCAAGGGTTACCGTCATTGCGGTTGGCACCTTTGTGCCCATGATCGATGCCCGTCAGATCTTGTTGTGCTACCTAACTCCCCGCCCGAGGACACATGGCGTGGAGAGTCGGTCCGGGTCCCTCAGCCTCGAAATCAGTGTATAGGACCAGCTGTTCCTCCGAGCCTCGGCAATCCGCTTGTGGTCTCGGCGGCCTCGAGATTCGCGCCTGCCGAGCCCCCACGATGGCTCGGCCTCGGCACCAACCCGAGCCTCGGCTCTTTACGTTGTCGACACCACAATGACCGCACGACGTCGTCTGCGCAGACGCACTGCATTTCGCGCCAAGCCGCACCCACGCCACGTGCGCAGGCCAAGCTCTCAGTATCCTCAAAGTCAAGACGCCCGCACCATCGCGTCGGCCCGGCCTCGGCACTCGCGCGGTGAAACATGCAAGAGAACCAAAGACGCCCCAAGAGAGGAAGACGCGCCTGCCACCGCAGGAGCTCCTACGTCTCACAGGACCAGGTGTGACCGGCACGTCGCTCCAGTGCACCAAGGACAAGACCGCTCCATCGACCATGTCGCCACAGTGACAAGCTACAGGGCTCGGCACGCCGCCTCCGCTCACAAAACGCCACGTAGCAATCCATGTACCATCCCCGTGCCTTCCTTCGACTATAAAAGGGAGTGACCGGGGCCGCTTCTAGGATCGAGAGAACAGATCAAAACCATGCTCACACTCACGCGCAAAACTCACTCACTCAACCCACACACGCTCCCCCGCTGCCTGAGAGCAACGCCTCAAGCAGCCCACGCCGTTCCACGCAGAGACCTGAGACTAGCTCCCTCTCTCGCCCTGCTTGTAAACCCCTACTACGAGCACCTCGGTGCAAGGAATACAAGATCGTTCTCTCAGACTGGACGTAGGGCATCTATTGCCTGAACGAGTATAAACCTTGTGTCTCTTTGCATCACCATCCGGGATTAGGGGCACGTAGTTCAAATTCACTAGTTGGTTGAGGACCCTCCGGTCCTAAACACCGACAACTGTAGCACCACATTGTCAAATCATGGCCCAATTAGGCTTAAAAGATTCGTCTCGTAAATTTGTCACAAACTGTGCAATTAGTTTCGTAATTAGTCTATATTTAATACTCCATGCATGTGTCCAAACATCCGATGGGACAGCGACTAAAGTTTAGGAGGAGGAACCAAACACCCCCTTAGTTGAGAGTTTCATATGTGTGTACAAGTAGCAGGGAAATGACAACCACGATGCGATGGCTATTTGACAATGGTATGTATGGGCTGCACTGTAAGCTTACCCCAACCAATTTCCTCATCGATCCAAGAAAGATTTGAGTCCATTTACCAGTAATGACTAATGAGGAGGAGACGGTTGGAACGAGACCATTTTTAGGGCTATATGTTTCTACAGCATTTTATATGACTTACAGCGTGACGAATTTGTCATGCCTCGTGACATCCAAAGCAATGTTAGGTTTATTAAAGTAAGTTGAGTTATCCACTAATTAAAAAAATGTCATCCTGCTTTATTCAGTGTCAGTGCTCCTCCTCCTCCTCTGCTTTCTGACCAGTGGGCCCTCCTTGATTCAGCTAAGGGGCCGTTTGGCATGGATCCTGGCAGCTCCGGCTCCTGCTTGACATTCACTGTAGCACACTGTCCTCTAGAGCCAGATTTCTCTCCTTCCTCTCCCTCTCACATAGCCAATTAGAGCTAGTGAAGCCAAAAATTTTAGCTTCACCTACTCTAACCAGCTCTGTGAGAGGGAGAGAGAAATCCGGCTCCAATAAACAGTCCGCTACAGTAAAAAAATAGCAGGTAGGAGCCGGAGCTATGCGAATCCATACCAAACGGGGCCTAAATTGTTGGCTCCTTTTTTTCCCTCGTGGAAAGTGGGGACCGCGGACTTGGAGAACTGAGAGAGTGGTGGTGGTGGTTTGAGGCGCAAACAGAGGGTGAGTGAGTGAGAATCCAATCACATTCCATTGGTTGGGAGCAGGGGCAGATCCAAAGGGGGGGCTGGGGGGGGGGGCTTCAGCCCCCCCTAATGGCTTGATTTCACTACTAATCACTGTAGCAAAAGCTTGATTTCACCATTAAATTTTCATGCAAATCAACTTCTCCATTGTTTTAGCCCCCCTTATCCCGCATCGTGCATCCGCCACTGGTTGGGAGGGTGGTGGTGGGTCACATGGATGGAGGGTGCAGCAACACATGGCCCTGTTCCTTCCTCCCATCTCTCCTGCCGTGGCCGTGCCTGCACGCAGATGCAGGTGATGACACTACCCTCTGCTTCCCTTGCTCTTCGTCACGTTCACATGAACGGCAGCCACATCACTGGCTGCCCTGTGACCGCCATTACGGGATGCCCTGGGCTGGGAAGCTCTGGTTCATAATGGCCAAAGAAACTACGCTCCTGCTGTCAGCTGTGGCAACCATTCCGTTGCATACATACATACATACTTGCATTGACATTGCATGGTGGTGCGCCGGCCGGGTGGGCGTTGGCATGTCACCGATTGATTCCGATGGTTTTGATTGCGAAAGCAGTGCCAATCGCTGGGCGACACTTGATAGTCCCAGCTGCTCCCAAATAATATACTAGTCACTACTGTGTGTATCACAAGCAAGAGCGACGTGAGATTCAAAGAAAGGCGCCGACCTCTCACATCAGCGCTGCACTTTCTTTCATCTTCAAAGAAAGGCGCAATTTGACGCATCACAAGAAAATAAACAACAGGCACGTCAATCACTTCCCACACTTTTCCCGATCAGGCTCATCACCGCACTGCTCAAACGGTCGGCAGTAGCCAGCAGAGGAAAATGGAAAGCCTAAGGTCAGATTGCGAGGGAAGCAATCAGGAAGCTTCCTGCTGCGAGAACAAAAACTCTCTTGCACTGCCGAGTTCCTGATAAAAACCTGCAGCATGTGGGAACTGCATGGTCTGTCAGATGAAAACGTTAGTTTAACACACGCATAAACAACGGTGATGATGTAGATGTAGGGGTGCAGAATTGTTTTATGGCTATGTTACGGCTAAAATATTAGCAATCATTCAGACAGGGCATAACTTGACAGGCATTGAAAATTGCGCGTCCTGACATTGCCAATGATTCAGAACGTTGGGTTGGATTGCTGCCTTGCCCAGTGCCTAGACCGGTAGAGCCCAGACATCAAAGCGAGTGCCGAAGAGTGTAATCACAGGATCCTTCAAGATTTAGCACCATCGAAAAGACAAAAATGTTAGCATCCAATTCGTTTGAGGCTTCGACAAACCTCGCAATATTTACGGCACAGCACACCTGATCAAGCAGTATTGTTATCAAACCATCACTAAATAAACTGAATTCCTGGACCGCCCGGAGAACAGAACAAGCTCACATTACAGCAGATACGCTCTCGCAAGTAAAATTGCCATTCTCCAGCACCCACTACCGGTCAAAACTTTTGAAGCATGTGCAATATGTAGTAATAATATATCTGAAAATAAGAAAACATACATACGCACTTCAACGACACTGAGATCAGACATGTAGCAGCTTACTATGAAAAATGTAAGCTGCCATTGAATGTGTTGCCATACAAGCACAAGATTTTTCTTGCTTATAGAAGGGAGAAAGCCTTCAGTACAAATACTAGGACACTGAAAACTAAATATTCTTTTACAGTAACAGAAATCCATAAGTTGATAATGTAATGTTACCAAGTCTCTCAATTGGCCAAAAGCCCAAAACTGCAAACAGAAAGCTAAAAGACCAAAAGCCTTTAGAACTCAAAGATTTGAGGAACTTATCTTCGATTTGATCAATATACACTAGGCATAGAAGAATTGCATATATTAAACTGGAAATTGTAACCACTTAAAGTTGAACATCTGAGTGTGCCAATGTTGAACTAAGTATTAGTTAACCCTGCTTCAATGAAAATAAACTCTTAATAAGTACTCCCAACAAGGAAAGGAAGTACCCAATGGTGGCAATGTATGGCCATGACAAACTGCGACTCAGTGAAGGGCTATTAATCCTAATCTAAGACTTGACCTTCTCATTTATGGTACGCTTGTTGTGCCAAGTGGTACTCTTATCACCCTTCAGTTGGTTCTTTTTCATGGCTATTGAGCACTGATCAGGCCTTCTACCATTTGCATTCATCTCTACTTGTGCCTTCCTCCGCCTCATGCGGTTCTCCTGCCTCAAACTCCTTAGAGCCTGTGCCCTCCTCTCAATCTCCAGTGCTTCAGAGAAGTTCCAGACTCTAACAGAACCATCCTCACCCACACATACAATCCTATCAGCACCAATGGCGATGGAGAAGAGATCACATCCAACGCCATGAAGCATCCTCTGTGGAGGCTCTATTGCGCTTGCATCAAAGCTCTTAACACGCAGACCCTTTGATGATCTTTTGGGGGTCAGAAGCTTCCTCAAATCAATAAGTGCAATCCTGCCATCACTCGAGGCTGACACAAGCCATGGATACTCAAAAGCAAGAGAATGAACAGGACCTGAATGTGGCACCCAAGTTGCCACTGGTTTAATGTCCTCATCATCATCAGAGACATCAGAAACATTGAACAAGCGAATAGCGCCATCCTCTCCACCAGTAAACAGCACATCCACCAGGTGTGTCCAAGACAATGAATATGCGTTACCAACATGGGCATTGGAAACTAAGCTTGTTAACTCGCCATCCCTGATATCCCATACATATGCATCTCTACCAGCAGTACTGGCAACAGTATTTCCACGCAGTGCAAGAGACCACACCCAGTCTGCATGCATGAACTTTTGCACACACTCCATCTGGGCTCTGTCCCAAACACGAACAGTCATGTCCCAAGAACCACTATAAATCCTCAGTGAATCCAAGGCAAGACAGGTCACAGGACCTTCATGCCCCCATAGGCGAAACTCCGCATTCTGGTCAGTACCACTTCCAGAGATGTGAAATAAGTGATCATTGCCTTCAACAGCCCTCCAACACTGGATATAGGCATTAGTTCCTCCACTCACTAAAAGCCTAGAGTCAGCTGCAATCGCCCGGATGGTACCACCAAGTGCACGGGATGTATCAATCAATAACCCTTCCTCCATTTTCCACATCCTAACCACAGAATCGCGACCGCCTGTGAATATCAGGTTTGCTGATACCAAAAGGAACACAGCACGTACATCCTCATTGTGGCCACGGAGAATATCCACATTGAATCTTCCCATGAATGATTTACTCCTAAACTCCCGCTCCACGAAAAATGTTTTCCAGGATTTCCCATCTAGAGGGGCACCTGGCAACAAGGGCCCATTCAGGGCAGCGGGAAGGTCTGGAAGCCCCCACCTTTCGCAGTATAACTTCTTCCATCCCTGATGATCTGTGGCTAAGGCATGCAGGAGGGTGGAGACACAGGATACAATTCCAAGATCCTTTGCATCGAGGCGTGCAAGGACCTCGCAGACCAACGCAGCCGGCAGATCGGTGAAGCACTTGACGCCACAGGTTGAGGCAGATGCCTCATTGCTCGCTTCAGCTTCTTGTTCTGAATTAGAGTCACTCAGAACAGATCCATGACTGGACTTCTGGTTCTCCAATTTGTTGAGGCTCTTCAAACCTTTAGGCTTCCAGTAGTGAGATAAGGGATTTGCCTGGACGAGAGTACCCTCAGTGCAAATGCTGGAGCAATTATCAGGCGAAGAAACTCTTCTTTCCTTGTTGCAGTCAAAGGCCATAAAATTGTAAGGTCCAACCTCGAGATTAATCTCCCTAGACCTAGAGCGAATCCCCCTGGAACCAATACAAAGTTACCTGAAAAAAATCAAGAAATCAATGGTCAACTCTCCATCACAAATCATATGCAATATAGTCATTCAAGTACACCTTAAACTGAATCTAAAGAGCGACAGCAAAGCAATGAGGCTGCTCTGTATACAAACACACGGCCATGGTTTGATTTAGGCATTAATCAGATCGAAGCAAATTTCGACAAGCTTTACACCATAAAATTCATCCACCAAACCAAAGCGGAGATTCGGCACCCAAACCTGATAATAATTCGACCTATAATGGATACAAATGAGGACAAATTGGTAAACCAAACAGGCTAGCAACAAACCGGCATCACAGATCTAGATGTTCTACACCAACACAGCTCGACGTGCTCTACCTAAATCGAAGGCCCAAATCCACGGCAATCCCGCCGCAGAAGCACGGAACCACTCCCAATACAACCTTCAAAATTTTAAAATCACGCAAAAGTATGCCCCTCTACATGCCCGGACGCCTAGATAGAGATAACAGCAGCGACACACGCAATATTGCACGAATTTGTCGCGCAAAAATCACCACCTCCTCTACGGGACCGGGACCAGGATTGAAGAGCGCATCACCAGCCGGTATAAGCAGAATCGAACTAGATAGAAGCCACAAACTACGAAGAGATTACCTCGAGGCGGCCTCCTAGATCTCGTCGAATGGTTGGGGGACAATTTGTCTCGTGGATTTGGGGGAGACCGCGGCCGGTGGGGAGGGGAAGAGGACCTGACGGCTGACGCGAGGCTTGGTCTGCACCGCCCGTGCTCGGCGCCGAGATTTCCCTACTGCTTTGCGATCTGCGCCATCGCTGAAGCAAAGGAAAAGCATCCGTGCCGCACAAGGAAAAGGCCGGTAGGCCTGTTGTGGGTGGGTGTGGTTTTGCTGGACCGGCCCGTTAGTAATTTTCCGTGATGAATCAGACTCCCTCTGAACGGGCCCAAGTTTGTTGAATGAATCGGGCTTTATCCCATTTTGGGCTTCTGAACTTAGCAAAGCACGCCAAGCACATTGTGGCTTCGCAGCAGTTCGTAGTCTCAAGTTGGTTTCGTTTCAAGTTTCAACTGCCAATGATGCTAGAAATAGCTTTCGAAAGCAGATGTTCAGTTCAGTATGCTTGTGTATGTATAAAGACAAAAGCAAAGCGTCATCACTATCAAACTTTTTTTTGTTTGTGACTGTCATCACTATCAAACTTAGCACATACTAATGATACTATATTGCCTGCCCCTGCTAATCTTATAATCTCTTCAGTGTGTATGGCAAGGGACTGCTTCTCACATACGCAACTATATACTCTGTCAATCTGTGGATTCTGGAGCCGGTAAGGCGTCTCTAGAGCTGATGGACGGGGTTTGTGACCTGTAACTCTAAAAAAAAAGGCATGTACTCCATCCATTCTGAAATATAATCGGTTTTTGGTATCGCTGAATGCCTGGATCACATGTGTGCTGTACTACTGTCTGGTACCGAGGTGCTTGGCCTTGGAGTTGGACAAAGGGCCTGTTTAGTTCCTCTCTAAAACGCCAAATTTTTCAAGATTTCCCGTCACATCGAATCTTTGGACGCATGCATGAAACATTAAATATAAATAAAAAATAAAACTAATTACACAGTTCAGACGAAATCCACGAGACGAATCTTTTAAGCCTAATTAGACTATGATTAGACACTAATTACCAAATAACAACAAAACGCTACAGTAGCGTTTTGCCAAAAAAATTAGCAACTAAACTGGGCCAAAGATAAAGTTGATTGATTGATGAAGACAATAGCAAAAGGCAGCATGGATGTTTTGTGGGCTGGGATCGATCATGCTCCTCCAGGTAACAACCGTGTTCTGGGCTGGACGTTTTGATTCAATGAAGAACACACCCGGTAGCTGCGTATTCCCTGAGCTAAGGCCCGTCAGATTCCTTTCTGCTTCTCGCTGCGCTCGACCGAAAGGAAGAGAAATCGAGCAACTACAATGCGCTCGACAAAAAAGTCATATGGGGCTTGCTTGAACGAGATAAAAAAAATGGAATCAGTGTCAGAAGGTTGGTCTGAAGTCTGAACAGTTGGACCGACAAACGCCCTGGCCCGCAGCGGGACGTTTTGAGCCTTGTTTTGAAAAAAAAAGGCTATTTACTATACGGCCATTTTTTAGCTTTCCAATAAAAAAGATCATTTTCCATATCATTTTTTAGAAAAATGGTTCACGATGGCATGGCAACATATACAACCATAATTCAGTACTTATTATGACTATTAGAGTTTACTAACTGAAAAGTAAGATGTTTCTAATTATTATAAGAATTTTTAGGATTTATATTTTCTATCACGTCTAAGCTCCGTGGGGCCTCTACTTAGTACCGATCCACAATTGATAATTTTTGTAAGAACAATGGATCCCTGTCTATCAATTAATAAAGGAAAGAAAACAATTTACAAGGTTGCCAATAAGGCCACAATATAAGCCTCCTACGAGATTGTCCCCATCGGCATACCTATTATTCTATTATATTATGACCTACTAGTGGATTTCATATAGAGGAAAGTCAAATTTAAATTTTGTTCAACAATTATTCAAATTATGTACTCCCTCCGTTTAGGGAAGAACGCAACGCTAGCACAATACCAAGTTAAAGTATCTCAAAATTGACTAACTACATATATAAAAAAAACAATATCTATAATGTCGTATAAGTATCAATAGATTTGTCATGAGATATATCTGGTGTCATAAACGCTACTATAGTCATATTTGTATCTATATATTTGGTCAAATTTAGATACTTTAACAAAAAATACATCTAGAATTGCATTCTTTTGGAACAGAGGGAGTACAATTTTAGAACATAAAACTCGGATAAATGGATTTGTATTCAAAGTGCCTCTGAAATGTATTGATCTTTTTTTAGCAAATAACAACATATCGTAAGGGAAATTAATGGTTAAATCTATTTGTTATAACTTTTCTCTGATGTGCCACCTATGTTTATTATTTCCAAACAAAAACAGTGTGCGTGTGGTGAGAATTTACCTGAGCTTCAAGATTTCCAACTCTCCGGATCGGAACCGGTGTGCAGGCACAGTTGAAAAATAAATCGGTGCGTACGGCAGATTCCATTATTCCAGCTATGACTCTAGTTTCCCATGCTGGTGAGTGGTGACTGTTTAGGAATGACCGAATCATACCCATTGTTCGTTTTTGGCCACTAATCAACCATTAATGCATGGAGAGCGACAACTGAAAAGGAACAAGAACGCAACATAATTACAGCCAGAAGAGGCTCAGCAGCCAGCACCATGTAGCCAGGTAGTACTCCCGTACAAGCGTACAGGGTACAGGCGTGCCGCCTGCAGCAGTACAGCACGTGTCCTTCCGCTCGCATTAAGCAACTGATAAACTCTGCAACAGGAGCAACTAATCATACTACCATGCACCATCATCAAGGCTCATCATCAAAAGCTTAAAAAGCACACTCACTACTGCACACGCCGGGACAAAAGAGCTGCCTGCCCCAGCGGCCAGCACCCAGCAGCCAGCTACCGCACCGCAACCAATTTACGTCACGTCGCAACGAGCCAGATTCCCGTACAGACAGGTGTTGCCCCGTCACGCAAAAGAACATGCACGGCCGAAGCGCCCATGGGGAAACTCTGTCGGCCTCACTCCACCAGTCCGGGTAGATCAGTCTGTCTCGACAACAGAGAGGTCACTAACGGTCACGGTCACGGCACGGGTACTTGGATCGATCAGAAGACGATGCTCGGGATAGTTGCGAGCGGTGGATCCTGCGAGTATGGATTTTAGTTCGCGAAATTTAGATTTTGGGTTTAGTTGTTGAATTTTTTTTTTTTTATTTTTTCGTCACGTTCCAAATTAATTAAGAATCAATCATCTAATTATGCTTAAAACGATTAAATCTCGTAATTTTCCACCAAACTGTGTAGTAATTAGTTTTTTTTTTTTTATATTTAATGCTTCATTCATTTCAAAGATTTGATGTGATGGAAAATCTTAAAAAAATTTCGCAAACATATCGGTTTCGACGAACCAAATTTCAAAGTAAAACCAAAATATTTTCCTCTCACAATAAATCACCAACCAACCAAAGACCTTTTTTTAGATTTGGGATTCAACCAGCACCAGCCAACCCTTTATGTTAGTTAGAGAAAACTCCAAAGACACGCATGCTGCACGAGGCATGACCGTTCAGTCGTCAGAGTATCCAGTCAGTCACACTGTGATTACCAGTAGCCTAGCTACTAGCTCAACACTGTCGTCTGTCCTGATCCAGATCCATATGATACGGTGAGGGGTGACCTTTATGGATTTATTGGGGTTAGGTAGAAAGAGTGTAAAAAGCAGCCAGCTAACATAATCGCCTGGCCGCCTGGCCCCAAAGACCACCGTTTGTTTTTGGGTCATCTATGCTTATTGCTTGTTAGTACTGGACCAGCAGACAGCAGACCGTACCTACTCCGATTATGAGATTTCTTGCCTCATCATGTAGATCAGTAGATCCAATGCACTCACACTCTTGTTATTACCGGCCGCCCGCTCACCTAAAAGCAGTTAAAGTTTTTAGCACTAGCATCTTATTGGCCCTGTTCCCGTTCGGCTTACTGAATCTTGACTGAAATTGGCTGAAAAACACTGTTCTGGCTGAAATGTTGTGAGAGAAAAATACTGTTCCGGCTGAAAAAAGAAACCAAACAAACCGGATATGGGGTAAGCCGAACGGGGCCTCTACTACTAGAGCCTATCTAAATTCTTGATCTAGCAGCTAGTATGCTGCTAAGTTTTATAAGGATTAATCTAAACAATGCATGAGTGCTAATAGACCACATTTTTCACCCATGGATCAATTATTGGGGCAGCCACAGTGTCAGCACCAACATATATAACTCAATGAGCTGACTACTTGGCCTG